ACCTTTTCGTATTTCTTGTATATTCTCCATCTAATTTCAAATTTGTCGATCATGCCTTTCATTTTTTTCTTCTCATTTATTTTTCAAGTTTCAACACGAAAGGAAATGCAAAGGCATTATTAATGTTTAAAATCTTCACGAAGTTTCTATTAACGTTTCACAATTAGATCACATTAAAATAATTCATAAATTAATGATAATTTAATGTTCTTTAGAAGAAACTACCAGAGATCCAAAATGAGCTATTTTCTAAATTCTTGTATTGATTTACTGATCATCTGATTATTAATTTATCGATAATTTGCTTTTTTTGCTGAACTTTCTAGATTAAACACGAATCAAAAAACAGAAATTAAAATATAAATCGTTGAACTCTTTACGCAGGTTCAATTTTCATTTCACAAACGGCACACATAATAATAGCTCATAAACTAACGACCGTTTCGATATTCTTATGAAATATCAAGTAATCTCAAATGAGCTATTTTTTAATTTCTAATTGATCATTCATTTCATTTCAAATTTTATAGGTCAATTTTCAGTTATTTTGAATTTATTTTGAAACCCGTTGAACTCTTCAGATTAAGCACGAAACAAAAAGAAAACAATAAAATGAATAATACTAAATTTTAATTTAGATTTAACAAACGGAAATTTATAATTGTCATGAATCTGTTAGGAGTTCAACTCACCGTGGTTCATAAATTAAAGACATTTATAAAATTCCCATGAAGCAATCCAAAAAATGAGCTATTTTCTAATTTCTAATTGATCATTCATTTCATTTCAAATTTTATAGGTCAATTTTCAGTTATTTTGAATTTATTTTGAAACCCGTTGAACTCTTCAGATTAAACACGAAACAAAAAGAAAGCAATAAAATAAATAATACTAAATTTTAATTTAGATTTTACAGACGGAAATTTATAATTGTCATTAATCTGTGAAGAGTTCACATCACCGTGGTTCCTAAATTTATGACATTTATAAAATTTCCTTGAAGCAATCCAAAAAAGGAGCTATTTTTTCATTTCTAGTTGATCAATCATTTCATTTCAAATTTTCATTTATTTTACGTTCTTTGAACTCTTCTGATTAAACACTAAGCAAAAAGAAGACCATAAGTTATAAATCAATGCATTTTTTTACTAAATTTCAATTTACATTTCACTATAGTTCATTCATTAATGAAAATTCTCATAAAAAAATATAAAAATAAGCTATTTCCTAATTCCTAGTTGATCAACCATTTCATTTCGAATTTATCGATCATGTACTTCATTTACTTTTCTTTCGCTAAACTCTCAAGATTAAACACGAAACAAAACTCAAAAAATGAGTTATGAACCTTCTAACTCTTCATCAAATTTGAGTTTACATTTCACAAGGCTATCATATATTACACTTTTCCAAAAACTACCGACAATTCAAGAGTTGCCCACTCAAAATGTGCCATTTTCCTCAGGCCCAAAAGTGAGTTTAACTATATCGTGTTACTTTTCAAGTGCAAGATCAAATCTGAAATGCTACACGAGACCATTTTCTTAGCGAGGGAAAGTTTCTGAAAGATCTAAGACTTCTACTATCAAGCTAAGAAACAATGCACCCTACCATCATTCCTCTCCTAACTCATTTCGAATCTTTTTTAGAATTTTTTTGTTCTCTCCTCCCATCTACGTTCTTTCGTGATAGAGAAGGCGTTACCTAACGAGCTTCCAGGAGAAGCTTGAATAAATGAAGGTGATTTTAAGAGCATCCTTTCGGCAATTTTTCATCGTTACATTGTACCCTGCTTCTTGTTTTCCTTTGCGTTTTTAGAAGAACAAATTCAGTGGAGTAGAAAACATTCCCTGCGATCCTCCTGTTCTCTAGTAGTGTACAGTCATTTATGCCTTATATTTATTTAAAATGAATATAAAGTTTCTTTTTTGGAAAGGAAATGTTTGGAGAATTGATCACGCGCGTTCATTTTTGCAATTTTTGATATTTTTTTTAAGGGGGGGTGGACTAAGAATTTTATGGACTTCCTGTTTTCTAAATTGATCATCTGGTAAAGTTAGACTGATTTTTTAAAAAAAAATGGCGGATATTTTTCTTTTAATATCTGAATTATTTATTACACTCATAAAAAAGTATGATCAAAACTACTAGGATTTAGTAAAATATACCACGTTTCGGACTCTATGGGAACACTCAAAAAAGGAACTATACCTAATTTTTATCTAAGGGAGAAATAAAAATTAAAATTATTTTCGAAATTCAAAAATGATATTTGTTTGAAATAAAAACAATAAACTAATAATATTCGTAAAAAATAATAATAAATAGTAAATAAACAAAATGAGTACATTTCCAAATAATAATTCTTTTTAAATATTAGCATTTCTAAGACTAGTGCATGTTCAGAAATGAAATTTATGATTTAGAGTTAATCATATGGTTCAAAAATAATACTATTAGCGTTAATTAAAGAAAAGGACTGCTTATTTCAAAATGTCTTATTTTTAATAACTATGCAAACTCTCACATTGTTTGATGTTATATTTCTTAAAACCTCGAATAATAAGTTCCTGCATGACATTTTATATTACCTACGAATGTTTTCTCATAATTAAATATATGGTACAGGTAAATTTCAGAAAATATACAATGTGTAACAAAATTATGTTCCTACTGGAGTTTTTATGATTTTTAATATAAGTAATATAGATTTTATAAAATTAAATTAAGTTAATGAAAATGAATGAAGAACAAAATACATGCATATAATTTTTAAAGATATATTTAAAAATGAATATTCTACCAACAATTTCAAAATTTTCCACCAGAAATATCTCTTAAAAATTATAATACCACCAGCTAAAATGAACATTTTCGCAAAATTAAAAGGATGTTGATCCATTATTTTTTTCTAAATAATTTCAAGTATTCGATTTTCCATGAACTCCATCGATTTTTTAAACTAAGTTTTAAGAATTTTATGCCATTCCATGATCATTTCTTTCATGTCGTATACTAAATTATGTTGGTGGTTATTTGCAAACAATTCTCTAGCCAAGTTACCACATAAATTTTCTGTAGGATTAAGATCAGGAGTACGGTTGGCCAGCTTAAGATTTTCATTGTTTTCTTTCTGATACAAATTTTTAGTTGATTGGGACGCGTTTAATGGTGTATTGTCTTCCTGAAATTTACAGTCTGACTTTTATAAAAAGTAAGATGTGGACCAAAGTTGTTGATTACAGCTAGTTGTTGATTACAACTATAGACTATTTCTTTCAAGAATACGCGACAGGTCACATTTACCATCATACGCAAAAGCTCCTTAAACGATATATCGAGCCACCACTCATCTGCCTATCAAAAAATCAAGAAGTTATGTTCGCAAAACATGCCAGTAGTAAGTATTATCATCCGGACCATCCAAACTGAGTTATTTTCATCGAAAAATTAACATTTTTCCACGTGACATCTCAGGTCATGATCTCCTTTGCCCATTCCCCTCTCTCTTTTTCATGAAGCTTGTTATGAAGCCGCCAAGGCTGTTAGTCTTGGCGGCTTTCTTTTTAATTTTCGAAAAACAACATTCGAATTTGATCTCTAAGTGTGCCAAACTGTTGAATGGGAGACGGTTCTACTTGTTCGCTGTGTTATTTTTCAAGTAGACAAGATCTGTTTCGTTGCAAGTTTGAAAATGTATCAATTTTCCCTAAATGATACCAGAACTTCTGTATTTTCCTTAAAGTACCTCTTTTGGTTTGAATAGTGTAAGCAGCAGTTTTAAAATGTTTAATTAACTTACATATTCCACGTTCCGACATTTCAGTCTTTAAAAAACCAAATGTTTCGAACTTATAGCTCGGAAAATTCTCTTCCACGAAGTAAATTTTCTTCTGAAAACAGATAAACTAAATTTTATTTGCTTTTATCTTATTACGGTTTGTGTTTTCTGTGGCGAAAAGTTGCGCTTTACGATATTTAAAGGGAAAAAAATTAAGAAATTAGAAACTCAAACAGTTTTGAGAAAACAAAATAAATAAATAAGAGGTCTTACACTTTTATAACACCCAGAGTTCAAAAAAAGATCGTTTGCTGCTCGAAACTAACTTAGTTTTTTCACTTTTTTATTTATTTGATAAAATATAACTTATTTCAGTTACTCCACTATTTTAGATTTTATTGATTTTCTGCAGTATACGGGGTAGTCTTATAATTATGTAACAAATTGCATGTGTTACGTTTTTTTAATAGATTTATTTATAAATAAATTCAAGTGTTACCAATGAATAATTAAGTGACTGTTTTTAAAACGAATTGTTTTTGTTTTATTAAAAGCCAATTTCAGGTTAACTCACTTTAATATACTTACCTCATCGTCCAAGAAGAGAGCATTTAATTGATAATAATTATTTATTTTATCTATTTAATATAACTTTAAATATAATCGATAAAATATTTCTGTAAAAAAGGCTAAAATATAAGGTCATTCCAAATAATTAATTAAATCACCTATTATTTTATTTTTCAACTTATAATTAAGACCTTTTGTCAAATATTTGTTGTTTTTTCTTATAAAATGAAAACTGGAAGAATATAATATTTTTGAAATACATTAATTATTCATATTAAACTTGTTTCTTTTACATTTTAAAAGTTAAAAAAGCATTACAATATAATAATTGGTAGCAAGTATCTTAGAATAAATTTTGAATGTAACATTTATTAAACAGAATTGAAACAGAAAATGGTAAATTTAAACACTTTATTAAACATGCATGACATGAATAATTCAACATAGTAAAATCTGTTGTTAAGTCCAATATAATTTTTTAAGAAAAATATATTTATTTTTTTTAAAATGTAGCCAACTACTTTATTCAAAGATTAGTAGTTAACATCGCAGTTTGTATTTCAAAAACATTATTTATTTAAGCCCAAGTTGAAATAATCTCATGCTTGCTTGTGTCGAAAATGTATTTAATTCTTTGATCTTTTTTTAGAACAAGAAATGAAATAAAAGCTCCAAACATCACTAGAAAGAATCATTAGTAAGTTAAAATTATTTTTTAGCTTTTCATTTTTATATGTAAGCCATGTAGGAAGTACGTTTAAATCGATATACGGTATTGTGTTTGGATTGTGATTAAAAAATTTCATGAATTATTCCATGTTTATCCTCTTTTCAACTTGTGGTTTAACGTTCCTGAAACAAAAATAAGAAAACTACATTATTTCAGTTTTCGTACATTTTAATCCATTAAGTAAAGTTGTCTGGTACGCATAACTCAATCTATTGTTCAAAATTATGAATACGAGTACAAAAACACATTTGGAGTTGCGGCCACTTTTGATAACAAGTATTTTAAGCTGTCTCTATATTTTTAAGCATGTATTTCGAACAATCAATTTACATAAACAAGCATTTTGAGCTGTGTTCAAACACATATTTTGAGCTGTGCTCATCTTTGCAAACATGCATTTTAAAGTTCTATTTTTGAAAACATGAATATAGAGCTGCGTCCAAATTTAAAAACTCACAGATAAAGTGCAAAATAACCATGATGCAATTATCATAGGAAATAAATAGCTTAAAATGTGTTACCACCTTCTAGGGTAGTTGGAATTGTATTTTAAAACCTTCGTTGAACAGCCAACTAAATTTTTGGGTTTACGAATACTAATGAACAACTACGTAGCCTTATAATTTTGTACACACTCAAGAAGACAAGCCAGCACCTGAATCAAGTATTGGAGAAATATGCCTTCGTGGAGGACTTTACTTTGATTGAACTAACCCACATTTGTATTACCTGGAGAGGAAGATTACGAGAACCTCCCTGGTTAGCCTGACGACAAAGGGGACTCTAGCCCATGATCCGTCTATCACTGAGGATATTTCTCGCTTGCACTGTGGTCAATACAAGTCTTATGTAGAATTCGTATCCACCAGCCATCGCTGGGATTTGAATATGGTTCATCTCATTGGAAGTTGAACTCCTTATCCCCTGAACCATCGCGGCTCGGTAGTTAGGATTATCATGATTAAAATTGCATTGAAACCAATGCCAGGAAATGTCACCATTATGGCGCGCGTAGAAAGCCGTTTATAACAGCAACTAGCAGCATATAACAACATTTACGGACATGGGTGTGAATGCAGTTTTAATTCTGATGATGTGCCATAACTCATTTAGAAGTCTGCTGCAAAATTTTTTCGATATGCACAACGTTATACATATAAACGTATGCATTTCGACAAAGAAAAGGCTAAAAATGTTATTGAAAGAACTAGAGCTTGAAAAGACAACTGCTTGCAGATCTTGAAATAAGCAATGCAAAATTATAAAAATTATTTTAAAAAAAATTTTGACTTTTTAAATTTCAATACAAAACTATCTAATATTTGGTAAAAAAATCTCCTGCAAACCGGAAACAAAAATAAAAATGTTCCCCGGTGTTATTAATTATTAGTTTCGAGGAGTGCGTGTAAATCCTATCATTTAGTTAAAAGTTATTTAGAGTATCAAAATTAATTTGGTGCGCTATATGCTTATTTTGAGTTTATTCTCCAACTAAGACTAAATAAATTCGTTTGCATCTTCAACGCGTTCTATTTTTAAAATCCCTCTCCACCTTTGCTTCTATTAAATTATTTTTCCGTCTAGCCACGGAAAAGTTTAATTATCGAGTATCCGAATATAGTCTAGTGTTTCGAATAGTTCTTTCTGATCTTTCATCCGAGATCTACGTGTACTCGGAGAGAGGCAGAAGAGTTTGAAGAAGGCGTGCAAAAAGTAATGAGATAAAAATAAAATAGGAATGAAGAAGAAGAAGAACAGTTCCTTTCATTACCCAAATAGAGAAAAGTTTTTACGCAAAGAGAATTACTTTGCCCAATTTTTGTTCCTTTTTCTAAGCGATTTTTTTTTATTCTAGTATTTATTTCAGGTTATAACAGAATGTTTGAAATCTCATGTGCCAAATAGAATTTTCTGAATATGAATAGAAACTTCAGTTTTTAAAAAATAAACCAATTAATTTTTTTCAAAGAAGATCAAATGTTGAAAGATATTTCTCCAGTTCATTAATGTTACGACAGTGATTTTTTGGTGTTATCGAGTATCCGAATATAGTCTAGTGTTTCGAATACTAGCTAAATTTTATACACTTTTTTATACACATACAAACACATTTATACATAATTTTATACACATACATGCATACACATTTATACATAATTTTATGCACATACATATTACTAGCTTAAATTTTATACATTTAAAATAATTCAGTAAATATTTATAATTTATACATTTTCTTTAATATTTTATTAGTTTTCTGCAAGTCTCGTATTTTGAACGGGGTAAAAAATGTAAATAATCAGTACTCGGTATTAATGACGATTACACTAATGATAATAACACTACGAGAATAACACTAAAAACTGAGAGGCATGCATTGTTTCATTATATAAATAACTCCCTTCGCTCTTCGTTTAGAGCAGTGGCGATGACTATGGTTACGAGGTTGGGTCAATATTTAAGACAGGTTTTAGTTTTGGTCAGCGAAGTGAGAAGCTCCTCTTTTTGAAATGCATAGCAACAGATGACCAAGACTTTGGGGTGAGGGGAGTTCTTTCTGTAGATAAATTATACTGACACAGTAAATAATACTAATAAATAATAAAACAATAAGAATAATGCAATAAAATAATTTATTTATATATTAATATTGATTGGACTTTTCAGTAATTGTTTGTTAGTAGATTACGAAAAACAATTTTTTTAAAAGTTAATCCCATCAATTTTAACTATGCAATTTTACTGTACTTATATCTTTTGGGTGATAAAAAACTCTTTTACAGCATTACATGCATTAAGTATATCTCTACCTATATTAGTATGTTAGAACTTATTAAAACATCACATATTACCATAATACTAGCAGTACCTATTACCAAAATTAATTGAAAAATATTTAGAGTCAATAATAGCTGAGCGATTTCTTTTATAGTTATTCAAAATATTTTCTTAATATAATTCTGCTTTTTAGTGCAAATCTCTTATTACAATTTACGTTGATTTTAAGATATTTAATTTTCTAAAAAACACATTGCAATCGTGTGTTCCTAGAAAAACAAGTAATTTAAAATCAAACACGTGATTTCATCTATAATTATGAATACCAATTGACCCAGCCCTCAAATGCCATTCTGTCTGATCCTTGAACTTAACTGAAATAATGAATAAAAGATAATTAAACTATATAGAGTGGGGAGTAACTCATTTTTTGAATGAATTATTCTGATTACTACATTCTCACTACTAATGACATATTTTTAATGAATAGTCGTTAAATAATGATAGACGCTTCAAAAGGAATAGTCTTTTACTTGTTAAATCTATTGATACGATTCATTGGTAATATAACAGTAGCATGGCGACAGTTCTTTGATTAAATTATTATTCAATATTTGTGCTTGTTGTTGATGAAGATGGAAATTTTTAATCCCATATAATTCCAAAACAGTTGGTGTCTGAAATTTAGAAATCGACTGTAGGAACAAGTTTTTGCCCGAGAGTGATCTATAAAATTACTTAAAATTCCGTTCGGTAGAGATTTTTTAAAAAAAATTTCTCGCAATAGTTTTGTTTATTTTTTTATACTAGTTTATTCTCTTTATTACTTTATCGCACGTTATTTTTTTAAATATTTTATCGCACGTTTAACTAGTTTTTTTATACTCAGTCATCAACGTGAATCGCATGTGGATCTGTGCTACTGAATTAGTATTTATAAAGTTATCTGAAACCAAATTTATAGAACAGATTTTAAAAAAAGTGTTTCCATAGAGCTATAAACAGTTTAAAATCAGCGGTAACAGCTGAAAAGAAAAATACGTTATGTGTTAAAAAGTGAAATCATTAAAGAAAAGGTACTGGCGTATTAAGGAGAACCATAAATAAATCTCTATTGACGCAATAATGTTTAATTTATTTTGGTAATTAGTACATCTGGTATTATAACAACGGTTCTAATGGAACGAAATCCATTAACATAGGAACTAATGCACTGTAAAAATGACTGTAAATTGTAAGGAAGAATAAGCAACGTTTACAAAAAAAAAAAAAAAATTCAAAGAAAAATTCAGATTTATTTCTGCTTTTAACTGTTATCCGCGCATTGTAAGAAATTTTCGCTCCTCTTACAGATTTCCTCTGTACTATTCTGCATATTAAATGTGTTTTGTTGACAAAAATGTTTTCGCCGTTTTTCATCCTAATCATGAATGGGTTAAAACCACCAGTTTTCTACCACTACTATTTATTTATTTTCTAGTTTTTGCAATTCAGTTTCACTTACCATACGATAACTCTACATTTATGCAAATCATTTTACGAATTGTTTTCTATTTTTCAACAATTATTTTATATTTAACATAATAAAAATAAAACTGCGATTTTATTTTATTGACAAATTGTTATTGACATTGAGAATGAATTCCGTTTTTAGCTGTTGATCTGCTGTTCAACCAAATTCCTTTTCCAGCTCACACCGACCACAGTGCTGTCGTAAAATATTCTCTGTAGTAGACGGTTAATTTGTTAGAATCCGTTTGCCGCCGGAGGAGGTTTTCGTAGTCTTCCTTTTCATCTAAAAAGTTCACGGCGACGGCTGGTTTGTTCCAAAGCTTGTCCTCGGTGTCTGGTTCAAAACTATAAGGCTACTTAAATAAACATTGATAGTCGTAAACTCAGAATTGGGTCAGTTGTTCAATGCCAGTTATAAAGTAGAACAAAATATGGAGACACTAGAGCTATGGTAGCTCAAGAGATAAAGCTCTCACCTCTCGATGAGGTGACACATATTCGAATCCCAGCATGTTTCTTCAAGTTTTTCGATTGTTCTTTTCGGTTGGCAACGACCACAAACCTATAAATTAATAATTTTAAGGAAATTTCTGTTAAAAAAAAACAGTGTTTGCGAAAATAACAGTATTCATCTTCGTAAAAAAACAGGTGTCTGTTTTCAAATAATAGTATTTTTC